CTTTGTAGGTATGTCGGATGTTTCCTGCAAAATGGTATGACATGGCACGAATTTCATTTGATGCGATCGGTTGACGCATTGGGGCCTGTTCAACGAGCTTTGGGGGGGGCTGCCATGATGAATGAACTCTGTTATGCAAGTTTGCTGGGGCTGCTATTTCTTTGCATCATAGACCTGTCTTAAAGCCCTGTTGCCTACTAGCAACTTTGCAACTGGATTGTTGGCAGATCGTGCTGATCCGCCCCGGATCTGTGATGTTTTTGGTTGAGAGATGTCCACATGCTGTGGGAGCTGGATCAAGATACACAATAGACTTTCAAGAAGCACTATCGATATGAACTTCGGAATCTTGATGGATTTATATTGAGTACCCTGATGATCATTGGAACTTATGGATTGTGGCGTTTTGGCCAAGACTTAAATTTGCAGTCCAGGAAGTAGGGGAAAAACCTAAGCAATGCAATCTTCCCGACCACAGTCAGCAAGCGACCTTTACAGGCCTAAATGACCTTAAACCAGGGGATCAAGTTTGGTCACGAACGGAAGATCCAGGCAGGAGATTCACTCACATAGGAAACCCTACAGGTCCAATCAGACCCAGGTCCAAACCTGGTCGACCTTACCTCATTGAGTTGAGTTTTTTCATGACCAACACCAGTAAAGAACCATGGAGGAAGGTTGGAATACTTGAAGTAAAGTCCTTTTTTTGCGAACGCACCAAACCCGGAAGTTCCTGAGGCCTAAAGAAACCACTTCATGCGTCCTTTTCCCCTCACCGGAAATGCGCTCCAAAAGCCACGGAAGCTCCTGGATTTCCAGAATGGGTGGATATCCATCCAGCATCATCGTCACGACCTGTTCACCAGTCGACCGACCCCCCCTCCGGGGTCCGACGAAACGACGAAGCTTTCACCGTCCAGTGCGGTGAGCAAGAGGGGGAACCTGCAGGTTCTGAAGTGCTTGGTTCGTGAGGGACCAACTAGCGACACATGGAAGTGGAACATGGCCAATGGGAAGACCATGTTCCGAATACAAAACCGAGAGTGCCATCCACTTGCATGTGAATACAAACAAAGGGCTGGCACACTGTGGAATATCCTGGGACACAGTGACACATCTAAGTTACTGTAAGAGATGTTAAGCGTAAAATGTCCATATGTGCATCACTTCCCCCTCCAAATGCTGATATCGCCCCACAGAAGGGTAGGGCCCAGGTAGGGTGGTGATGTGGAGCCTCATGATGTGTATCAAAGGAGTAGGGATTGGCTCACTCATGCGGTTTGAACCCGGAATCGCTCACTTTTGATCCTCACACTCTGACTGTGACCAATGCCTTGGGCATATGGGCCACAGCTGCGGGAATTGGATTTCAAGCGCTTTCCGGTCTGCGACCGTGGCGACCATGCCGACAATCTGGCGAAACTGAGCTGCCTTCAGCGGTATCTGATCTACAGTTCGGGCTTTTTGAGAAGATCAAATGAATCCCTTAAAGTATAGACGTATATATTTTTTGGGGGGGTATATCGGGATCCTATTACCAGGCCCCAAGTGGATGATGGTGGTTAGTAAGGGCTTTTCTGTAAAACTCGTGATACATGGTGCCATCGGCTGTTACAGGTCATGGGATACCCTATGATACCCTCACATGTTTGATCACGTTTAATCATGTGTGTATTTCCAAGGCACTTGCCATCAGGCCTTACCAAGCCATGGCCGCCTTTGGCCGCCACTTGCCATGTAACCGATTTCTGCCGAACCAACCAGAGAACGCGCCGCGCCGAGCTGCACAGAGCGGACCGGCGGCCAAAGGGTGAGTCTCAAGCTCATCGAGCAAATGAGCAAAGAATTCATATACCAGCACCATCCTGTCTAGGTCCTGTCTGGGTGTCCTATCTGGACATCTGTGTTGCTAGGGTATACTAAGTGTTGGTATGTGTTAGTTGGGTTTAGGTAGTCCAGCCAGGACACCCAGACAGGATGGTCCTGGTACGTACATATTACCCTACAAGTCCGACGTCCGAGCTCGCAAAACCAGGTCTCTACCGACAGTGACATTGTAGTGGTTTGACCAAATCCTATATTTCATGAGCTCATTGACTTGTGGATAATATGTTTTGGTTTTATCATACAATACTTCGAGGAATACAACACCGATCAACAAAAACTTGCAAACTCCTACTTTCTATGCGTCTGTTAATTAGTTGGTTGTGGCTTTCCGGTGGTCGATCTGCGGATGTTCAGCTGAAAATCATCGCAACATACAGAAACTCCAGAGTCTTCTGGTCAAACTTGGTGAGCAGTAGTGAAGCTTGGGTCCACTTTTTGAGTCCCGGCAAAAACTAGTACTTTTGAGACTCCCCAAATCAGCCCAATCAACAACAGGAACGGATCGAAATCGGTTGAAAACGGATGTCTTTGATCCGTTTTGATCCACTACCCTAAGAATTCTTGGGCCCTCCATGGCAGGGGTCCGGACCTATCACCTTCTTCTGGGCGTCAATGTCCCAGCCTTCCCACTTGGAGGTGAAGGGCCCGGAGTCTTAGGGTACATCACTTCCCTCTCTAACACATTCTCAGCCTCCCAACAAGTCTGCGCACCTCGCCTTCGGCGAGTTGTGCTTTGACCCTCACGCCCTCCCAAAGGTCCGTGCCGGCGGGGTGGAGCGCCGCACGTCCAGGCCCAAGCGCTTCTCGGTGCAGCGGCTGCGAAGAACGTTGGGCACCAAGACGACGAGGGCACCCATACCTTGGTGCGAGCGGATGGAGCGAGCGGATAGAGGTTAGGAGTGGTCCACTTTGAAGGGTTTGAAGAGGTGAAACAACGAGATTTGCTAAGAGGACACCATGAAAAACCAACGCGACGCCGTGTGTTCACACAGCCATTCCGTTGCCTATTTGTATATCGTCCGTTGACCCAAGGATTTGGCTGGATGTGAGGCTGTGAGGTCAAAGAAAGCAATGCGCACCTTCAGTTCACATACCCCAAACACTTTATGGGACCGGTTGTTTTGTGCATGCATTGACCCCCCCAAACCATCCCAATGGATCGGCAAACATATGGCAGTCCCATGGAGTGTCTGGGTACTGTAATTACCTCTCCTCAAGCAATCATGGAAGCTGACCAGGGCCTCCTTGTAGAGGACAGGTCTTCCAATGTCTTCCAGGTTCCTACGATCCACTTCCACGATTGTTTCTGTCAGGGAGTGTAATTGGTAAGGGCCAGCCTTATTGAAGCAATGAGGCACTCAATGAGGCTTCCATATGCTTCCATACCCCAAACAACAAGCTCCTTCCAGCATCTTCCAGCACCATGGCCGAACAAATTGATGAGCAAAAGCCTCATGGTCTGAAATTCCTGACAGTCTGCTTCTTCTATGCTGTTGATCCACCCCTTACCTCCACTTCAGCTCCGTCACCGTTCGCTCCCGACTCACCATCCAAACCGTCCTCTCTTCCGTCCTCCTTCGCGGCTAGGCTATTGCTGCACCTACCGTCACCCGCCAAGGCGCTCAGCAGCAAGGAACCCGCCACCAGCTCCGTACTGGGGCTGAAGCCAAAGTCAAAGGTGCCGTGCGTGAGCTCCGCCGCCTGACCGAGCTCCGCAGGCTGCGCCGCTCGCGGCGGAGGGACGTGGCCACCCGGTGTGGAACAAACATCCAGTGTCAAAGGAGACACCGGACATTCAGTCACAGTGATCATCACAGCGGACTCGGATTCGGATCAAAAACCGGGGGGAACTGGGACATCTTTGATGTATTTTGGGACGTCCTCTGGCGCGCCTTGGGTCGGATTCAGATCCAATCACTAGACTCCAGACCTTGTCAGATCCCTTAGAGCTCAGGAACCAACCAAAATACTGGAGTTGGTCATACCCTAGCCTCCATCCAACAAACATGGAAGTGGAACATGCCCCCTTGCAAGACTGTTTTCCTCTACGAACAGGCTGCATTCCACTTCTATGATTGTTTCAGGGAGGGTCTACCACAAAAACATTATACTCAATTATCAATGTTCAGCTGGAACCTAAACCAACAGGTCAAAAGTTGGATGGGTTTGGGCCAGGTTTGGGTCGGACTGGACCTGAGGTGAGTATCAGTCTCAGAGAAATTCAGAGAATGGGTCTCAAGTTGCTGAAGATGGCTGAAGAACACCGGATTCGGAGGGTTTCCATGAATGTCCGGCACAACTTGGATTTGCAGTCCAGGAACCTGGAAACTGGAATGTCAGCAACACATATTGCCAATCCCTAGGGCTCCAACCACCTCCTGAGAACATGGTTGGGGTGGATTTGGGGGGTCTAACCACCTTCTGAGGAGATGGTTGGAGCCCTAGGGAATATCTTCCCCTGGACTTACCCACAATGCCTTGATATACGGATCATGCCAGGCTCGTATCGTGATTCGAAGCAGGTGCTTCGTGTGCTCCGTGCTGTTGCAGTGACGCTTGTCGGGCACAGGACCCCAACAAGGATCTCCTGAGTGTGAACGTCACACATTTGGGATGGATATGATGGCTAATGGCCCCACACGGAAGCCTTGGAAAACCTACACGCCCACTCACTAACATATGGAAGTGGACAATGGCCACTGGGAAAATCATGTTCCTCTACAAACAGGGGGTTTTCCCTTCCATGTTAGAGTCAGAGGGTACCGGCGGCTCAACATAATCTTATATATATAATGCTAAACCCATGGCTGCGTAAATCTGCGTATGTCCAGCATTATGATGCCTCAAACTTGATCATGAAATCAGAAGGGTTGAAATCAACAACATTAAGCCTTGACATCACACACACACACATGAAACCTTGACCACTCAAAATGAACAAGTATGAACAGACCGAGGGAGGTGAACCTGCCACGTGAGTGGCTTCGGGTTGCAGGGTCAGAAAGCGCAGAAGACGACCGTCGGGTGAGTCTTCCTGAAAGGAACGGTCAAACGGAATTACCAGTGACCCGTCACGAGGTGGATAAGAATTGAATTGGAATACACCATTTACATCACCAATGCTTGGAACCAGCTCGTCCCCTCACTTCATTGTCCGTGGTAGTACTTGTTTTCTTTCGAATCTGAACAATTCCAGCTGAGTCTCGCTGATAGGTCGTGGGCTCATAGCCCCTCTGAGGATTGCATCCAAAGGTCCCAATGCGGCGAGTGCTATTGTAGGAGCGCTGCTGTGAAGCATGGCGCAGCTTCCAACCTCAACGTTCGGACCCAAGGCGCCAATTTCCACCTATCTATGGCTGTGGGTCATGGCACCAAAGCACCTTGTTGACATTGTTGACCAGCGAAAATGAAGATATTCCTCTACAAAGGAGGTCATGTCATCAAGGAACATTGCTGGAAGAGGTGAAGTTCCTCACCAGCCATATAGATCATATAGAACCTCCCGTGAATGGGTATTTCTGGCTCAATCCAAGTGTATAGATGTCTAGAGAGGCTGGAATTCCCTCTACACTCAGTGCATCCCAGTCTACAGTGATATGTGCTATCCGTCACCCATGACCCAGAAAAGTATATGGCAAAAAACGCCAATCACATACTGCCACCCAGCACCACCCCAGCATAGGAAGGTCTTCGGAGCGAACTGCGGTCTTTGCCACGTTTTTTCTCCACCCGAACTGCCTGGGTGGTGCTGGATGGCCTTCCGGTGGCAATGGATCATCCCCAATCCCCGGCGCTCCGTCTACGGTTTCAACGTTCAACCGTTCAACTGGATCAATCTCCCCTTCCACCCTCTTCTGCCGAATCGATTCCGGCTGCTATTGCGCAGCGGTCGCAGCCAAAGGGATTCTTCAGCATGACGTTGTCACCAGCCCTACCAACCCATTCTATGAGCCCTGCTTAAAATAATCATATCAAAAGCTAAATGGATGATATTTCACCCGCCAGGGGCCTGAAGAGGCCCTAGCCCTAACAATCCCATGTCTGGCGGGTGATTCATCAACATATTCTACATGACCCATCCCAAAACGCTCGATGTGTGAGAAGATGGCCCTACATTTCGCGGTTTTGCATGGTGACGGTAGGCCTACATTTCGCGCCACCATGGAGCGTTTAAGGTTTGTCCCTGTTTTCATCCTTCTTTTTGGTTCCAGCAGCCAGATCCATCACTCTCCAGTTGCACGGCCAAGCAAAGCTCCACCAGGCGCTGCGCGTGGTGGCAGGTGCCCGGCCGGCGAAACACGCCACGACCAGGGCCCCAGCAGTGGAGCCTTTCCACGGAAGACGGACAGACGTGGGACGGACGATGAGCTGGGTCCGAAAGACTTGGATTTGCCGCTCCCAGGAAGTGCGCGACGCCGTTGTCTGACGACGTGACGACCAGAGGACGTCGCTCGCTTGTTGACCAATTTCGGGGATGAAGACCCACAGGGATTACTTTAAACATCACCTGATCCGCACAATCAGGAAGAGAAGAAGAGAAGAAGATCCGCACGACATGGGTCAACACTCAACTCATGAAGATCATGGTTTGGGCACCGCGATTACCAGGGAAGAGGTAGGATGAGGGAAGGGGTAGGATTTCCAGGTAGTATCAAGCCAATGGCAAATTCATATCATTTGTGTAAGAGGCCGGGTAGCTTTTAGTAATTGAAACTCGCAATAATCAAGTATAATATGCCATGTCATCATGCTTCTGTAAAACTTCGCATTGATTAATTCTGCCCTAGTGAAACAGGCTTGAATGCACTTGCTTTGAACAGGCTAATCGCTAGCAACTGAAGTAGCGTATGGTCACTAGACTGTCAAAAACTAATGACTAAACTGTTGACAATTTTGTTCTTGAAGTAAAGGAAGGAAACAAAACCTAATGACTAAAAGAATGGACTATATTTTTGGTGAAGTAAAGGAAGGAAACAAAGCCTAATGACTAAAACTATGGACCAAAAAGTTTGGTGAAGGAAAGTAAGGAAACAAAACCTCGAGACTAAAGCTGTAGACCAAAAGTTTTGGTGAAGGAAATTTCTAAACTGTGAACAAAGTGTTTTGGTGAAGTAAAGGAAGGCAACAACACTTTATGACTAAAACTGTTGACAAATTTGTTTGGTGATGTAAAGGAAGGAAACAACACCCAATAACTAAAACTGCGGACAACATCTGTTGGTGAAGTAAAGGAAATAAACAAAACCTAATGACTAAAACTGTGGACCACAATTTTGGTGAAGGAAAGGAAAACAAAACCCAATGACTATTAAACCTGCAAATCAAAAGTTTTGGTGAAGGAAAGTAAGGAAGCAAAACTTAAGGACTAAAACTGTGGACAAAATCTTTTGGCGAAGCAAAGGAAGGGAACAAAGCCTGATGACAAAAAACTGTGGAACAAAAGTTTTGGTAAGGAAAGTAAGGAAGCAAAACCCAATGACTAAAACTGTAGACCAAAAGTTTTCGTGAAGCAAAGTAAAGAAACAAAAACTAATGACTAAAGTTGTGGACAAAGTTTTTTTTGTGAAGTAGAAGAAGAAAACAACATTATAATGACTAAAACTGTCGACATTTTTTGTAATGAGGAAAGAAACAAAACCTAATGACTAAAACAGTGGACAGAATCTTTTGGTGAAAGGCAGGAAGAAAACAAACCCAAATGACTAAGACTGTGGACAAAAATGTTTGGTGAAGGAAAGTAAGGAAGCAAAAACTAATCACTATTAAAACTGTAGACTGTAGACCAAAAGTGTTGGTGAAGGAAAGTAAGGAAGCAAAACCTAATGACTAAAACTGTGGGCAAATATTGTTTGATGAAATAAAGGAAGGAAACAAAACTTAATGACTAAAACAGACAGTGGTCCAATTTTGTTTGGTAGTTGAAGGTAAGGAAACAAAACTTAATGATTAAAGCTGTGACTAAAAACGTGGACTAAAACAGGTCAAGGAGTTCCACAGCCTCCGGAATTCCCGTTTCCTTCAAGGACCCAGGGCACCCGAACGCTGCGGAAGATGTTTTTTTTAGTCAAAGTCTCCAAGAAGGCTTGCCGACGGGAAGTCAGGAAACAAAAAAATATTATATTCAGCATGTCGTCCACCTTCTCCAACTTATGCATGACAAACAAGTCTGGTCTCAACAACAACTAAGCTGTTTAGATTTGAGTAGCAATAATTTGCAATTTGTTTTAATTGGTCTGCGCCTGGTCTGCGCCATCAGCACGATTTTGGCCATATTGATTGTAAACCTATTACGTTTATTGTATGAATATTGAAACGGAAAATTGTAATAAAGAAAATCGTGGCTGAAGTGTTCAGTTAAAGACCTTTTCATATCTGCTTCCACGTTGGTTACTATTGAATTTTGCAAAATTTGCCAATCGGGCGCAGACCAGGCGCAGACCAATCAAAATACATTGCAAATTGCAACTTAAACCTGAACAGCTTACTTGTGTTTGAGACCAGGCTTGCCTGTCATGCGCAAGTGTTTGCTGACAATTTGGAAAATATGTTGATTGATATGCGCCTGGTCTGTGCGATTAGAACGTTTTTCAAACCTACTGTAAAATAGATAGTTTATTGTACTAATAAATGTTTACAATCACAAACGGTCCTGAAATATTTAGCGCAAAACTCTTTTGCGTATGTGTTTGAATGTTGGTAAGAAATAATTTGAGAAAATTCACCCACGGGGCGCGTGCCAGGCGCATACATTGTTTGTAAAGCAGCGGCGTTGCACTCTCAATGGAAAGAGAGCTGGTCCGACCTGATGGTGAAGTGCTCGTAGCTGAACTGCCTGACATCATGATCACTGCACATGTTAATTGTTACGTTTCTTGCCACATCGTGCATTCATATGGGTTCACCACATCAAATTGCAGGAGAGGCGCCGGCTGTGGATCTCGTCCACCCCTGGAAAGTCCGACGATAAGCGCTCCAAAAGGCGCAAGCACCTGTGTGGAAGCGGAAAACTTACTTAACTAACTGGAAGATCTGGTTCAATGCTGTCAGCCAACAAATATATATTTCAAAACTAAAACGTCTGCATCAGTAAACCAATCCAAATTACAGGTCCGGCTGGGACAGCAAATGATTGCACTGCCCCTCACTCAAGTCCAGCCGGCATCTGATCAAGTACGCCCTGAAGACCTCCGAGGCCAACTCCAGTAGTGGCGGCCCACTCTGAATGTCCGGCAAGGGCGCGATACCACAATGAACGACCGGCGCAGCAATGGGAGACCGACTGACACTCATGGCTACAGCAAGTTCCCGGCCGAGATTGGTCCGACCAGTGTAGTAATTAAACAGTGACGGTTAGCCGCTACTACAATTCTTAGCACCAAATGTGTGTTTTTGAATTTGCGCTTGAATTGATTCATGGAGAACTGTGGACTTCCATTGCTTTGTAAAAAACTGTGTGCCGACTGAACCTGCAAAGTAATATATTTTGTGTGACCGACCGAACCTGCAAAGTCGTTGATTTATAGCAAGTTGAGTATTATTTCACAAACTGTCGACTGTTGAGTCTACGTCACGTGCACAAATTGATTGATTCACATCCAACTTGATTCTTGATGCTGAAATCTATTCAAATGAATGTGACATGTGCGTTCCATGTCACACGCAGCATGAAACAAGCCTCACTGCTTGACAATACAGTTGGCAAGGCCCTATGAAAAAGTGTTGAAGACTTGTTACTACAAGGAATGAACTTTCATTTCAGCCTTCGCTAAAACAGTCAATTACAAATCTGAACTAGTACTACAGTACTATGAGTGTTGCAGTGGGCTCTGAATTGTTGATCCCTGCAAGCCAAACAGCAACCTCTAGTATATACTGTTTTTCCAATTCACTACTTAAAAAGACTTTGGCAAAGCTCTGAGTCGTTCGGGCTGAGTCCCGGGCATATTGTTCGGAAGCTGCTGGTTCGCAGGCAATGAGCCAAATCAAGCAGTTCCCTCGCAAGCATTGGTTAAAATAATGAATTGTCCGGCCGAGGTGGTAAGTTAAACAAACGTGTCCGGCGCCAACAACTATACAAACAAACATACCTTTGGGTATCTTGGGTTAAACATCTGGGCAATCCCAGGCGTCAAAGGTTAGTGGAAACACTTTTGCACCTTTGAAGCATTTTTAAGATTAACCACTGCCTGCAGCAGAATACAGTGCCCCCTTTTGACTGACAGTTCTTCCTAGATGACATGCAGTAAGCTACATAGATACAGTAGTAGAGATAAAGTGGCAAGCCACGGCATGTCATTGTTACAATTGTATGATTATGTGGGCTAATTAAATTCAGCGTTTCTGTGATTTGGAGGAGTTAAACGCCCTACTTAAAGCATCTCAGCAGTTTGCTTAAAATCACCAGAGTGTAGCTTCCCCACGCTGCACTGCACCAGGAATGCGGTGCAGTGCATCGCCACAGTTTAACTGTGCCTGTGTGTTTCACACATTAGATGAGGGAAGCCAAGCTCATGTCAATGTAGGGGACGAAGGGTCGGATACACGGTGCTATTATGGAAACATCCAGCTGCCGCCCCCCAATGTCCCCCTTATTAAAAAAATATGCAGGTGAACGGACTCAACATGCAAAAGGAATCACCTTCCATGCTGACTCTAGTCAGCCCAATGCTCCCATACTGGTCCTATTGGCATTTGTTGGAAAACAGTTTTGATTGCAACTTACATGCACTTACAAACTCACTTGTGTTTGGCTAACTTTTGACTATGCATACTTCTTGATGAAAATCCTACCCCTTCCCTCATCCTACCTCTTCCCTGCTAATCGTGCTTCCTGAATGGTGGCAACGTGGAGTGAGTGAAAACCTCCTGTTTGGTCTGCGGATTTCGTCATCCAAGGTCAGGTCATCCACCTCCAGTTCAGTTCGTTCGTTCTGAAAAAAAGCGCCCCCACGGTCCTCCAGGTCCTCCAGGTCTAATCAGGTCGGTTTCTTGAAGACTTCTTTGGGAGTTGCAAGTGGTCACCTTGGAGGGTCCTGCTTTTGTTTGTATGTTGGGCGTTTTGATGTGCGTTCCATCGCTATCGTGCATCATGGCATTTCTATGCATTTCTTCATCTTCCACCAACGATTCTGGTGGATTGAACCCGTTCTTTTGGGAGAACCACCGTTCGACTCGGCAAACAGGGCAACAGCGGACGTGGTTTCACAGGTGGGCGTTCGAAATCAGCAGGTCCATAATATCGGGATGCCGAACGGAGGAACGTCTAGGGGTTCCCCTGTCACACGGCCCCTCGATGGGACGAAGAAGACTCTCACCTCTCTAAACAACCTACTGCTTTGCTCACTGGAATATCTTTACCTGCTTTGCTGTCGGGGTGCCCTGTCTGGAGACCAGGATTAAGTAGCCCTATAGGGCTATTCCGACTGTCCGGCGGACGGCGACCCGTTGGAAGCAGCTGGTATGTTGGGCTTGGCTCTCAGGCCCTTGAAACATATGGCGTTGGGCGTTTTCTATTGGGGAGACCTCCAACCAATAGTTTTGGTCTAATTCCTTGATTCCAGTGGGTCGACCAGAGTTTAGGTCGTCTCCCTATTTATATAGGTCTCCCACACCCATGATCTAACCCTATAGGGATCCAGTCGTACCTTCTCAGAAGGTATTTAATTGGAGACACTGTTATGTTGGTGCCAGGAGAGTCCAAGTATATACCTTCTGAGGTTCGGTAGGAAAACGGATCTCTATAGAGTTAGAGATGGTCACTGGGATGTCACTGAGGTGTGTGCCTACCGAAACCACACTCCGCACCGTTGGAACCCGAGGTTTCTCCCTCGGTGTACACCGTCTTTCTTCGGAGCGGCCGTGGTTGAGGCGTCTGGAAGGCCGTGGGGAGGTCGAAGAGCAAGGGGATCTCTGGAGTGGCAAAGGTGGAGTGCTTTCCGCCACCTGGAGGGGCGACGAGCTGTCTTCGCCACAAGTGGCGAGCGTGATCGAAATTGGGTGGGTGGCGGCCAAAGAACTCGTTTGAGGTGCTGAAAAGAACTGGTCAAAGTCATAGTATGTCATAGTGGGTTACTGGGTCGGTTGGATGTCTACTTCACAGTGCTGAGGAGGATGTAGCATTTTTCCCTCCTGATAGTTCTCAAGACTGGCAAAGCATCTGAGATTGCCATTTTGTGGGCAACCACTCCAAAACGACCACTGATGCTTGAAAAAGATCTCTGAAGTACATTCAGTTTGTGAATCAGGAGTCCTCAGGAGTCTGTCCTTCCGTTTTCACCCTTCGTCCCCTCTCCCTTACCCTCGCATGGCGCACTCCCCCCCTCCACCGCACTCCCACATAGCGATCCGTCTCAGCTCAGCTCTCCGGTCCCGTCCCTCCGTCACCGGGCGTCCCTCCAAACCACCGGACGAACGAAGTGGACTGGATCGATGCCTTGGACCGAGCCAGTGGGCCCTGAGGTTAATCGATGTATGGTACAAAGCATCACGTAAACACCGGTCGATATTGACGTTTCGATCCGTTTCCTCCCAAGAATGAATGAACGGAATGCCAACGATGTGGACACATCCGCTAGTAGCGCCGCTATGGCTTCCACCTATACTGTGAAACGGGGAAGACCCTGAAACAACAACGTCACCCAACAATCATTCGCACGTCCTCTCGGAAAAAAGGAGGCTTGCTCGGCTTCCTCGGTGGGAGGCCCGGCCTCTGGCTTGAAAGTGGAAGGAGGCTCTGGGCGCATCTGGCCATGGTGGCAAGATTTGGGAGACCCAGTCCTCGGCTGAAGGCTGTGAAGGCTGTGAGACCCGTGACTCATCACCCATGTCAATGGCTCATGACCCATGACCCAGTCCTCTCTTTCCTGAAGGCTGTGAGCGGCATTGAGCTCGACCTGAAGCATCGAGCTCGCGGCTGGAACAAATGGTCTTCTGGACAAATGGCGGCATCCACTGGGGTGGGCGATCCAGTCGAACTCAGTCATGTCATATCAGCATTGTTAAGTTACTGGTTGGTGACTTTAGCAGGTTTGGGCCCTCACCTAGGAAGGCAAAGAACACTGCAGAATGAGAATTAGGGACTATCATGACCGCATGAATCCCTTTGCATCCTTTTAAGAAATGCAGGCAGCACATGGCAGCAGGACAGAACCGGCATGGTCTTGTCTGTCTTAGGGTCGGCGTTTCCATCGTGTCTCTGTGCCTCCTAGCGCATTCAAGCGATTTGAAGTGTGAGAAGCTCGCCTTGTAGGCAAGTATGATATACAGTAAAATATCACTAAAAGTAGCCTTATCTTCAGCATGCACCTACATTTCCTGCATTAGAAGGTCTATACTCTTGCAGAGAACGAAAACCACTCCCACTGACATCCACCATTTTTACAGGGGAATGAACATAAACATCTGGCTATAAGTACTTCATTCCCACCTCTGCTCTGAAAACTATCCTCCTTTGCAAGCCCTTCCCGATCCACAAACCTCCTGGAATTGCTCCAAGCACCATCTCAGAAGGTACCCGGCCATCCAATCCAATCAGTGTCCAACTACTCAGGACACCCGTTTTAATGGTCGAAATGCATTCAGCCTTTCCCCTGTTGCAATATAGGTCTCATGTAGTTGGACGCGGACACATCGCTGTCCAGCGGTTTCTGACGGTTTCTCACTGGGTCTGGTCCAGTGCTTCCCAACCATCTTTGGGGGTGACGGCCAGGCCTGAACAAGCTATGCAGGCCTACCGATTTCGGTGGAGCCCATCCATCTGGATATATTTGGATCTGGGTCATGACACCAGGAGACCGAGCGGTTCACCTGCCTGGTGTTGGACCGGGCCAGCGGACCAGTGTTTCTGCCCTGCCCTGCCCACGTCAGGCGGGCCGAGCGACCATGGAGCAGTTGGGATAGAGGCAAGGGATTTCCAGCTCGATGACCTTCTTCAAAGGTTGGTACTGCTCCAAGCCCTCCATGTCCTCCGTGTCGTGAAACTCCCAACCTTCCTCGCTTGAGGACATCAGCTCACCCGTGAACCTTCCCGAGCCACGCCAACTTGGCAGGTCCACCTAAGGCTAAGGCAGAGAAGGCAGGTCCACCTGAGTCCACCTAGGGCGTTTGAGAGGGACTGGAATCCATCTGTCTGCCTTCATTATTTGGAGAATCATATATTGATTGATATTGATATTGATTGATATACCGGGACCATCCTGTCTGGGTGTGGCTGGACTATCCCCTACACTACTACGGTTTGTTTGACACCCAAACAGGATGGTCCAGCTATTTTCTGTATAAATTTTCAGTGGATCCATGTTTTCGACCTCTGATTCCAACAGTCCAGCCAACCCATCTGATTCAGCCGTTGTGCCTGGACCCAACAAGCCAAAGTCCGGTCTCGTTGGACCCAACAACTCGGAAGGGTCCAGGGTCCCTTGGAAGATTAGTAGTACTAGCAGTGTTTGAACTGCAACAATGGAGGCATTTTGTCTTTCTTCCCTTTCATATATTATATATATAGAGGTTTCCGACCATAACAAAAGCATACAAAAGCACGACTCATCATGAGTTAATTTTGACAGCATAAGCATAACAAGTACAGCAGCTCCAATGTTGGTGCACTTTGACAGCAGGACGGTGGTCGTCGACTCCGCTAAAGAGTAACAACTCACCCATCAACTGACTTTAATCGCCTGTATCACGTTGTATTGCCTTGCCTGTTGAACTCTCTGAGACTCTTTGGGACCCCATGATGGTGCCCCAAGGGAGCTCGGCCAAGCCTACCTCCAATTCAATCAAAATCCAAGAAAAGGATACCTCTCAGCAAAGAAGGCTGGGTCAACATCAATATCTGTTGATTGAAAAACATTGAAAAACACCTGCCAAGTTACGGCAATCAAAACGCTTGTACTGCCAGGATCTGTTGACACTCCCCAAAAGCTTGGAGAAAGTCATGCTGAAAACCATGTCAGCATGAATCACCCTCTCTGGTTCAAAATTTCAATCCTTACCCCCACAGAATGCCACAGATATCTGTCTTTCGAACAGGCAGTGCGGGCAGTCTGGTCTTTCGAAACAACCTGGTCTGGTTGGGACAACATTATGTTGAATCCGATGCATAGGAACCACACAGAATTGTCTTTGCGAAAGCTGCGCTGATGACCGTCAGAAAGCTCTGCTGACACAAATGGTATTTGTTGCTTTGTGTGAACACGGGAGGTGACGGAGAAACGCATTGTGAAGGAAGTGCTTCTTCCCCCGTCTTCTACCATCGTTTGAGCTGAGCGCCGAGCAGCCGACATGTTGATGGTCGTCTCTTGCAGCAAGGGTCGATCATACTCTTGCCATTCGCGCACATCATGAGAATAATCCTCCACCTGATCTCGGATTTGCTGAAGGAGCCGGGAAAAAGAATCTTCAGAAGGGATTCACTCACCCCTATAGGGAAAATCCACACATCACCTGATATACACAAAACATCGCAAAACCAGGCCGTCGCCGTCGCGTTCTGTCCTGTTTGCCGTTCTTCCTTCGCGTTCCAAAAACCGCGTCGTTCGCGCTCGGCCATGTGGTCAGGTCCATTCTGTCTCCATCGGTCCGAACCGAGTCGATGGATCCGGAGAGTCGAAGGAAGAACTGGATCTGAAGATCAGTGCTTTAAGACCTCATAGCTTAACTTAATAGCTTCACTACTAGCTTCACTGTTTATATATCCCAAATGATCCATGTAAGAACATATTGCCTACATTTGGTGTTTTTGGGTGGTGGATGTAGCCTCCTTTTACTTACATGGATCTTCTGGAACTAGTTGTAACATGTTATCCCTTAGCCTTGATCTGCGCAAACCAACTTCTATACTATAGCTACTGGCGGACAATGTTTGTTCCCTGCAAGGTCTGGAGTCAAAAGCAACACTAAATGGGAAATATATAAACAAGCTACGATGAGATCAGGAGTCTGTAGTCTTGACCAAAACCCATGGAACATTGGACTGAGAAAACAATAAGTAAGGACAGACTGGTCGCATGATTGATAAGCCCCATGTCACCATGTCAATGTCACAAGAAAAACTCTTCTAGAGTACCTGGACCATCCAATGGGTGTCCTGTTCGGAGATCCCTAAGCATTGTTAGTTGGGTAGTCCAGCCAGGACACCCAAACAGGATGGTCCTGGTATGGATGGACCATCTCGTTCAGTTCCAACTGGTGGAGACGTGACCTATTTGGCCAGGGCGATCCACTCCTGAAACTCCAAAGGAATCGGAATCAGTGTCCGAAGACCTACTGCTCCAGTGTGGTCACACCAACCATCTGCCCTGTCCCGCAAAAAGACTCCCACAATGCATGGTCGGAGTCCATGGACACCCGGAATTACTTCTATAAGACCTCTTGTTGGGGGCTACGCGGCTACACTTGGAGTGTGCTTGATTCCTGGCAGGCAGTTTCTTCACTGGAAAGGCAGGGTAGACTCTGAGTCGACTCCGCTCTCTCTGCTCTCGGCTGCCTGGGTCCGAACGTGATACACCTCCCCTGTGAACATCCCAGAGGCTATGACAATATACATGGGACAAAGCTTGTAGTCAAGCTTGTTAAAGCTGAGCTAAGCCGCATTCTCAATGCGGGAGTTGGCGATGGCGGCAATGAGGAAGGCCAAACCAGTGAAGATCACCACCAGCCCACCGCAAGTGGTGGCGCACAGCGTAGTGTCGAAGGGCTTCCTGGGAATTTGCTGGGCCAGTTCATGGAGGTCGCTGGTGTCAGAAAAGAAAAGAAAACAGTGAACCTTTGGCTACTTGACCAGCTCCCCGCACCCCAACAAAAATCCCTAATTGCGAGTCTCTCGTCTCCACATGTCCTGAACCACCCCCTGCGTTCGTCCCCCCCGCGTTCGTCCCCCATGCTTGATCTGAGTGAACGAGACCGGGCCCACTGGATCCTGGAAGAGCCAGCCCGGAGCAAGTTCCGAAGGTAGACGAAACAAAACCCATCTAGGCATGAAGGAAATGACCACCGGGTTCCCAAAAAAGCCTGGTTCTAGTGGGAACTTGCATGGTGGGATGTTCATTGACATCCGAGTTGATGCCAAGCAAGGTTGGGCAAAAATCAGGTCATCCGAGTGCTCTTTTTGGGATGAGATCGATCTGTCTCTTCACATCCAACAATGCATCAACCTCAAAACCTCTTACAATCATCTTACCACCCTTTAAAGGAACAAAAACTACCCTCAAGACACCCTCAAATAGCTCAGCTCAAGGTTCTGCGTATGCACTCGATAGGCCAGGAACTCATCCTCTGACTCGTCGTTGCTGAACCCAGCACGGCTGCGCGCCGTCGACGCCGCGCCGTGGGCAGCGCGGGTGGCATGGGCCACGACGGCCGTGGTGAGCGCCATCGGCGAAGGTTCGTGATGGGAGATGGCTTAGCCGGAGGCTTGAAAGGAAGTCTTGGCTTTAGTTGCTTTCTGTTCTTCTTGGCTTCAATCTGACCAAATGCTCCAGCTCTCATGGCTCCGCGCCTTACTTCCTCCACCTTTGATTTGTCCAATGCCTGCCTCTTTTCACTTAAGGCATGCATAGCCACTTGAAACGACAAGTCACCAACTGGTTACGAGTTAGTTCTGAGTGGAGTAGCAGGTCATGGACATTACTCACTACACTGCGACAAACAACGAGGTGACGATCCGGATCCCCCTCAAATAGTTTCTGGGGCGCCCCTAGTAGCGTCCTTGCTCCTAGTAGCGATGGTGTTGGTATTAATTACTAGATGTCTACATTTAGTTCGACATGCCTTACACATAACATTATCTATATTGGAAATGATTCACCATGCAACGATGCTTTGATCAGGTATATGTTCCACCATCCACAGGCATTCCCCACCAAGTTAGGTATGCTGTCTCTGAGTCAACGTGTTGCAACTGTCCGACGGCCAATCAAGGCCTCCTGACAGGGGAGACGCCCGAGACCAAACATATGCAGTTAGCAATTTGCTGTGTCAAGTAACGATGAAAACAAAGTAATTAGTTGATATGGCCATAATCATACATGCTGTTACATGTTCGGCGATGCTTGCTGACCCTAAAGGCCCAGTATGCTTGTTTTCTTGTTCTTAGGACATCTTGAGGCTGACGCTGGCATTCTGAACACGCGCAAACGTGTCGAAATTGATATTGCATACATATTTTGGCCAGGCCTTGTGCGTGGGACTCCGCAACCAACCCGCACCCTGAGGAAACATGAGGAAACCACTATTCAATATAACACACAATGACCTGACTAACAATCTGCCAACCCAGACGAAGTGACGAAAATGGAAATCAGATGCGTTTTGATTTACACAAACGAGGAGCTCCATGCTCGTCAAGAAGCTTGACAGACCTTCATCCGGGTTGAAACTGGCCATGGGACTGGCCAGTCGCCGGTCAAGCACAAATGTCTATGAAGTTCACTAAACCCATCGCACCCTACATAGGGACCCAGTCCTTTGGTATGAGTACATTCACAAGTCTCGGCCAAACATAGAGAGTATAGTAGGGCTTCTCTGGGCTTCTATTCCTAATATAATCACAAACGGATGTCATGAGCATGTTTGTATTCCTTCCGTCTTCACACCTTTCAGAAACGCTCCAACTTCTCGCTCCGCTCCGCTCCCCCACTCGCTCGGCATCGGTTTGGGTGCCAGGCATTGGCAGCGATGAAGCACATGATCACGCTTGTGAACACCTCGCGCCCGCTCCGCGGGTGGCGGTGAATGGGCTGTGGACCGGAAGAGGCACCACGAATGGGCACCAATAGCTGGACGAAGCAACAAGGACACGTCCGTCCTACGGCCCGGGACGTGTCGCTCGGTCCTCGCAGGTGGCACGGGACCGGCGCTTCGCCGACGACCGGTGCGGGTTCCCCGGGACCGGGGGAGTCAGGTCGCAGTGGAGCCGAAGGACGGGGACGGGGACGGAGGTGGAACATGGTGGAACCAGATGTTTCGTTGAAGGTGACCAGATGACACCAGATGTTGGATGGGGTCCATTTCTTCTACCCTGAAGCGTCGAAGTGAAGGTTTCATTCATATACATGTGAGACAACGACCAGGGTGTCGGGAAAAGGGTAGACCTGGAAAGATCTCCAGATTCAGACACATTCAAGCAGGTGGGCCAACTCTACTGCTCTATACTGTTTGCACAACAATTTGTGAAGGACAATTCAATCTACCCTAAGAATCCTTGGGCCCTCCACGACCAGGGTCCAGCTCTCTATAGTGGGGGTCCAGACCCGAACCAAAGCCTTCCCGTTGGTTCGGGTCCAGATTCTTAGCCTTAGGGTGGCTAAAGACAGAAGAAATTCGCAGGTAAGTCTGCACCCTTCCAAAGGTGGCAAAAGGAGTTATTGATTCAATCATATACATGTGTTTCATCCCCTTTGAAATTGCTATTACGAAATGATTCCATAGAGGACATTTTAAACGGGATTGTGTTTCATCGTTTTAGCACATCTGTTGGGACCGGGCCGTCCTGCGGGCGAGTTTAGGCATCAGTGCGGAAATGACCAGGCCCAAGCAACCACTTAGCAGTGGTTTCAGAGTAAATGGCACAATCCCCGAAAAGGTGATTTATATGGACCCCAACATCAAGGACATCTTTGGGTTTGTGCCATCTTTTCTGAAACCAGTGTATTTTGTCAGTTGCTTCCAACATCCTCCAGCCGCGTGAATTCCCACTCTTTTGCGCGCTTCTCTCGTTCTCGTGTGGTCTTCCACAGCCCGCACGCACCTCGTTGGTGGCCATGGCTTTCAGGAAACGGACCTCAAAGAAAAGCGACTCTGAGTTGGTCTCACTGTCTCTCACTTGCCTCACTTGTGCAAGACAATTCTGAATTAGTCGGTTCACTCGGTTCCCATCTGATGCACCACAGATCCCATCTGATGGTTCCCATCTGTGGTCCATCAAAATCAACCCTACAGATTCCAGCTCTGATACCAGTTCGAAGGTCGGTCTTCCTTCGAACAAACACCCAGAGTCCAGGTCAAATGGGTGTGATATGTTTAGTAGGGAGAACCCCAACCAAAGGGTAGACCAACAACACAAGAGCTATACAAGCTCCGCATGTTCACTGGTCTATAGGTCATCCTGGAGTGGATAGAATATGGGAAATTTATGGACAAAATCAATGAAATTCATGGAACATCCAAACCATAGGAACTTGGTCATGCCATGTCATGTGTTTATATGTTGTTGGATTGGTTGAGTCATATTTATATATAATATATATTTATATACTCTAGGACGATTGTAAATGATGATGATGATGATGATGACGACAATGATGATGATGATGATGATGATGACGACGACGACGACGACGACGATGATGATGATGATAATCATGATTATGATTATGATGATGAGGAGGACGACGACGAGGACGAGGACGAGGACGACGACGACGACAACGACGACGATGATGATGACAATTATGACAATTTTCTTCACCTGTACAACCAGTACAAGCACGCCGGTGGAGTCTTCAATCCAGTTTGACCAGTTGATTCGGTCTGGAGCCCCGGACGATGGGAGAGTCCCACCAAAGTGCCTGGGGATCGGGTCGAGGAGACGTCCGAACGATACCCAAACACTCCATGGATGGAATATATGTATATATACCAATTATATACCTATTCCATCCTACAGGTCCAGTCTGACGTGCTTTTGTAGGATCAACTCTGCGATGTCATAAGGTCAAACTGACTTGTAGGGCTACTATTGGCCCCATTTTAACCACCCGAATGACTGTATATATGCAATCAATAATTCCATCATTTCAAGAGCCAAGGCTCATGTTTTAGTCCCTGAAACCAGAGTACAGTATAGCAATGTTTTTGGCGTTGAGCTGGTGTCATGGCCCCCCTCCTCGCTGGACCGTGCCCTACGATGCTCCCCAGCTGAAGCCCAACGGCTTCGCTGTCCTTCGGAACCGTCTGACCGATGTGACCGTCGATCCAACTGTGGCCGTCGTGTCGGTGTAGATAGACCCCCAACAGAGAGAGAGAGAGAGAGCGTTGGAACGATCATGAAAGATTGCCCACTTCGGAATGCTATTGGAAAGCGTTTCTATCTGTTTAGCGTACCTTCTCAGGTTCGCTACGACTGGACCCGACAATGGCCCCTACATACCAGTGTCGAACACATCACCGTATCTCAGAGGGTGGCAGTGGATCCCTAGGGTCTATATATGGGGACTTAACTTATCAAATGGTCTATACCCCTTTCCGCAGCTCCGCCGGACACCCCGCAGCTCCGCGGACTGGTCCGGTCCTCCTCCTCCTCGGATTGCTCGACGTCCAATGCCTTGGACATCGCGCGTGTCATGTCCTGGCGCGTGTCGACTGGTCGGATTCGAACGAGGTCACTCACAGGCGCTCGAGGTCAACAGCATGTCACAGCTAGAGAAGCTCGAGCTTGGAGCCCAGCTCGACATGTCTGGACCAAGGAACTCGTCTCGTCTCCCGGTCCTCTGCGGCACCGACCAGGGAACCTGCTGAGAGCGAACGAAGCACCAGCGCCGGGCACGGAGGAGGGACCCTGGCTGTTTTTGGACGACCTGACCCCCTGTTCTGATAGGAAGCCAATATGCAAAAGACATCAAACTAGAGGTTGCATGAATTCTTGCTCGGTCCAAGAAACTGGAAATTGCTCAGGGTCAAAGAAGGCAAATCAGTCATACATTGAGTGTTTGGCAAAGGCTCCGGCTTTGGCGAGCAGCCCAAATTGGTAGGACCCTGATAAAATCTGAACTTGCTTCTCAGCTGTCTGCCGACCCACCGAGCAGCTAAGGCCAAGCTGTAAAGTCTCTGACAAACCAAGAGTGTGGTGCAAAAGGGTCATGAAAGAACATAAACAAAGCTTCCGGATGAGACTTGAGAGCCTTCCGGATGAGGCTGATCCTCACAGCTGATCCTCTAAACATTGGACTGCCAGGACTCCTTTCGCCCTTGCAACGAACTCACCAGTGGTTGGTTCATGTTGTTTCACCCTGTGATTCGTAGGGAAAACCCTCATCCTTTCAGGTGCATGACATCCACACTTCCGACTCACCCCTCCCTCTCTGTCCAAGTGGCCCATCCAGCCACGTCCACTAGGCCGGGGCCGAGAGGAGTGGTGCCTGCGACGAATGGGACGTGCCCTGGACAGGGAGACCTGTGACTCCGTAGTGTTAAGATATCCAGCCAGGTGACCCCGTGTCCGGTGGCGCAGCTGGTTTGTTGAAAAGAATATGATCCTGGTCTGGGATTGGTCAAAGCGGGTTTTTAACGTTGGGACTGGTCTAATGGGTGAGAATGTTGGCCGTTGGAACCCGCCAGTGTCCAAAAGAACAGCGCAGCAGGGCGATTCATGGCCAG